CTGTGTAGCAAGCTAATAACGAAAGGAGAAAAGAAGTGTATATATGTAAAAGTTGAACGAAAGAATAAAGCAAAAGAAAGAAAAGGCGGAAATAAGGAATAGGAGAGATAAAATATGATTATAAATGGAATTAAAATAATAAAATATAACAAGATAGAATAAGATGAGATGTAGTAAATAAATAAATAATTTAAGGTAAGTGGGCGGATAAGATAGGATAAATAAAAGTATTAAAATGTGTGTGGCGTGATCTGAGCTGCTCTGATAGAAACAACCGATTTCGTGTACTTGTATGAATGAGAACTTGTAAGCAATGAATTATTGTAGAGAGAAAAGAGAAGAGAAGAGAACGAATGTTATTTCTATTTGCATTTAGATGTGTATGCAGCAGGTAAGAGGAAAACCTCTGCCGCATCAATGTCGGTTGATTTAAAGCCGAAAAACACCAAACAAGTAAACAAACGGCGCGGCCATCTTTCGTCCTATACGCAGGCGCAATGACGTAGCACACGGTCCGTCTCCTCATCACGTGCGCCGGCCATTTCTCGTGCCACGTGTGTTCTCTGATTTAGTTACACATCTTCCCTCATTACCTTATTTGCGGGGGACGGCTCCCGCGACTTCGCGCGTCCACATCACGCTCAGGGCTCTCCCAGCCGCGGGAGGGGGGGGGCGTCCTGGCGCGTATCCCCTTGCGGGGGAAATTTTGCCCATGGCGCATTTCGCCGTCGCTAGGCATGTCCAAATGCACATGCAGTGTCTGTTGTTTCGAAGTGTTTCTTAATAGATAAGTAAATAAGTAAGCCGGTTCCATTGTAAATAGTGAGAAAACAGTGAAATGTATACTTACTTTATAATTAGGTATAAAACTATGCATAACCAGTGTCTGTGTCTGTATCTGTCTGAATGAAGTACTTCGGTGAAAACGTAGGTTAACATGTATATATGAAAATAAATAAATAAATTTAGGATTGCTAAGTAGATAAGCTATTTAGGTGTGTTCCTACTGTGTGGTTTTAACGTGTAATAGTTAGAATGTGCGTATGTGAGGGTTGTAACTAGATAATTATTAATGATTTAGTAAAGTATAGGTTAGTCTGAATAATAAATAATCTGAATATAAATAATAATGGATGGATGTAACTAAAATAAAATATATGAATATGTGTATTAAGAATAGTAGCATACATGAAATAGATCGAAATTGATGTATAGGGGTATATACCGTGCAGAAATAGAAACGGTATATACACTGGGATGTGTGTGATTTTGTGCAGATTTTACTACTGGTGCTAGTAGCCTGTGCTTCTAGCCTCTGCCTGTGTGGTGTAAACCCGTAAGATAGAAGACCAAAGTGAAATAAAATAGTGGTTATATGCATATGCATATCACAGACTGTGTGTGTAAATGAAAATGAAAACAACAGACACCGGCAGCCGACATCTTTTAGCCATCTTGCCTGGCCGCCACGTGCGCGCAAGCGCGATGACGTAGCGGTCCCCCATAGGCTCAGCGCACGAAACTCCCACCTCACGTCACTTCCGCCGGCCATAATGCCGTATCGCCACGTGGTCCGGGCAAGAAGCTATAGCCGGTCACCACGGCCCCTCCGCCGCAACACCCACGACCCAGGAGGTGCAGCTCGGTCCAAAGGGTTACGCCCCACCCCCTCCCAGGCCGAGTGCATCGCAAGACATCAGGGCCGCGGAAGACCGACCTCTCCCAGACCGGAAAGGGAGAGACAGTGGCCCACCCCTGTGATCGTGAGGCGAGACTCCCGCGCGCGTGTTCCATTCTGTGATAAAAGAAAAGAAAAGAAGAGAAAATCCCCCAAGGAAGAGTTTCCACCGCCCAACCCGGTGAGTCACCGTAACCCCTTATGTTATGTTTTATTTTATTATTGTTGTTGAAATCCCGTGAAATCCCTCAAAATTTAAATTTAAATATCAATAAGAATAAGAATAATATGACATGACAGTGGGACAGACGCATGCGCGGTGACGTCACGTCGCCGTCCGCGCATCGTCCGTCTCTTGCCGTCCGCCATCTTTCCTGCTCTTCCGTGAAGGCCATAAAACTGTCAAATAACTCACTTCTTGTCGCCTTATCTCCTTCTAATCCCAAATCCGGTCCGCCCGTCTCGACTCCTCGTTCCTGTGGCTCTCTCTCGCGTGCGTAGGGTCCTCTTGTATACACTAGGCCATTCAACTGTCACAAGATTCTCAACTGTCACTTTTAAGAATTTATCCGGGCGCCATTAAGCACCTCCGTATTTTAAAACCTTTATATTAGGGAGCCCGTCACAGGGTTTACTCCGATTTTCGCAATTACACTTTCATGCCCACTCGATGTTTAACTTCACACCCACTGGGGGAAACAGTCCATTCTTTTTCCCCCCAAATCCCACCCACTTGTCCGGAGCGCCGAGGACACACGACCGCACGCTCTCACGTCACGCGAGAGCGCGAGTTACGAAACTGAAAAGATGCCAAGTAGATATGTTTTTTAAAAAAAGGAGGAAGCTAAATTGTGGGAGACGCGAACAAGAGGTGCGACACGAACCGAATAGCGGGTCAAAAGGGTCAGCTCGTTGCCTCTTAGCAAGTCCAATTGAAGAGGAGGAGAATCGACGCACCTGACACGGGTTCCCCATTTCTCCTAAGCATCCTGCTGGGAGCCCGCAGGACCCAACTCGGGACGTCTGACAAAGAGAGGGATCCTGAGTCGGGGCTACCGCAGACAGGAACAGGTCCCCTCTACGGCCGAATACTCTTTCCCTAGAATTGTCTCACCAGAGGACGGCAACCGACCCTTCGAACCATCTAAACGGCCGATCACTTGCTTTCTACATCAAAGCAGCGGTGATCGGAACTAGAAACGGGGGAACGAGACTGGAAAAGAAGCTATTAATTAATTCATAACTTGGCAAGCTACGCATAAACTAAGATGTACAATATAAACTGAAAATTAACGTCGTAGGTGGAATTAATGAGACTAAAACAGGAATTGATAATTAGTTTGAATTAATGAAATTAAGGAAACATAGGAACGAGAAATAAAGGAAAAAGAAATATTCGACGTTAATTTTTACATTCGCGCCGCACCTTAAATTTAATCGTCTTACACACAGATGAATCCGACGTCTTCTATCTAAAAATTGATCTAAATAAAAACTAAAATAAAAATTAATAGTTATACAAACAAATTAGAATTAATTCCATGAACAAATATATGGACAAATACAAATATACAACCAACATAACCAAGAACAGAATAATTAAAAAAATAACAGCCCAACGATGTAGAAAATTAGGAACAAAATAATTTGAAAAATAACAACCCAACGAAGTAAAAAATGAAGAACAAAATAATTGGAAAAATAACAACCCAACGATGTAGAAAATGAATAACAGAATAATTTGAAAAATATCAACCTAACGATGCAGAAAATGAAGAACAGAATAATTAGAAAAATTACAACCCAACGTAGTAATCTAGATACCAACTGAAAAAAAAACAATTGTATGAATTAATGGAAAGAAGAACACAAACCAACGAAATATTACATCCCTATATACATACAAATGGGAAAACACAATATTTGTAATTGTTCACACGCTCCACGGGAACGGGATGGCCGGTCGTTTAGGCGTGAATGAATTCGCAACAAATTGGTTTTGGCCTTGCGGCTGGTCAACTTGTAACGCGGGTTCCGGGACACGCCGGTTAGGTGGCGCCGGTGGGTCGCGGTACCGCGTTCGGGCCTCCTCCCGAAGCAGCGGCCACGCGGAGGAGCGGGATCGGGCGGGTATAAATGATTACGAGTCGGTAACGGTAAATAATATCGTTTATTGCAAATAACTCCTCGGCTCGGACTCTGGAGGTCGCTGGGTGGACGGCGCTTGGTCCTGCGGCTTCGTCGGTCTGGAATTAACCGGTCCGGTGTGAGTACGCGCGCTTATAACTAGGATCATACAAATTACGATGCTGGCGGTGCCGGTATCGTATCCTACAACTAGGGTGTGATAGAATATGGAGGGCTCAAATATTAATTTGAGAACCTCGTCTAACGGGTGTCCGGATTACGAAGGAGTAGGACGTAGGAAAAGTAAATCGTTTCTTTTATTTGTATTTTCGCGTCGTCGATTTTCGACGACGCCGTTTATTTTGGAAAAAAGAATAAATCAAAACGAAACTTAAAATAAAATAATTCAGAACAAAAAATAAATCAGAACAAAAAGAGAAATGTAGGCCGTTTGCCGATATTAATAATAAATAATCGTCTCGTCGTCTGGCGAGTCGTCGGCTGGCGTCAGTCTTCTCTGTAACAAAAAGGACGGAACTTGGTGTAAACACACGGTAACGTTAGTCACGCTTTCCGTCTCGTTCTGACGTTCTCGCGCTCCTAGCTGTGCTTGTCGCACTCAGGAGCGGGGATTCTCTGCCGCTGCGTTACGCGGCGAAACAGGTGGACTGTAATTCTTATGTGTGTGTGCGTTCCCTTTAAACCGGGAAACAGCTGATTGCAGTTCGAAGGAAGACGAGATTATACCTCGATTCTTCCTATACTGCGTTATCTCGACCGTCGTAGGAAAGGGCAACAGATGGAGGTTGTAAGGCTCCAAATGTTGTCGAATCCTCGGTTTCTTACCGTCCTCGTAATCCGTCCTTGTACGGTGTGGGAAGGTACCTTGTCTGCGTTCACAACGACTTACAGTTAGCGTACGTTTCCCACTGTTGCTCTTGAGCGGTATTCCACGCACACGTTGGCGTATTTTCGAAATACCGCTTCAGCAGGTCGCCTGATGCTGGACACGTGATTTTAATTCCTAGCACCGACTGGAGGGCGGCAAGTCCACCCACGGAATACCACGTGGTCCGTCTAGGTGGGGTTTTAACCGTTCGACAGTCAAGGGAGGTTCGTGGGTCAAACTATAACCTTCGGTAACGACCGATCGGTTCAACGATACGTATCCTGTTTCCTCAGTCTTAGGTGGTTTTTACCACTGCTGCTCTAGAAACGTTCGGAAATAACCCACGAGATTCCTCGTTAGAAACGGAAGTGACGTTGGTACCGGATGGTATCCCAATCCGTTTAGGTACTGCACTTCTTTGCGTTTCCGACTCTTTTTCACTCCAGTTAAAACGTGTAGCGGAAGTATTTGCGTTACCGGATCGGACCCCAATCCGTTCTCGCACTGCACCTTCTTCACCACGTTCTTAACTGGCTCGAAAGAACGACACTATTCGTTATACTTGGTATATACGGAGGAGCGGGATCGTATGCCCATCTGCTCTCGGCCGTTTCCAAATCAAGAGTCGTTCGTTTAACAAGGAGAGTCAAATTCGGAGAGCGATTTCCGACTGGCGGCGCTGTAGCCGAATTTGAGTTTATCCTTGTCTATCTTTCGATTGTCTTTCCTTGTCTATATTACGCGTTTCGAAACGTTAGCTTGAAATTCTGCGTAGTTTGGTCGATCGCGTGATGTTTCGAAGAAATCCGTATGTGACCGTTTTTGTATCCGGTCTTGTTTACGCGTAGCGGACATGAGCGCCGAACATTCTCGAGTATGTTACATAAGCAGAAAAACAATACCGGGTGACGAATAATATTCTACTATTCTTTCACGTCGAATTAACGCGATATTTAAACATACCGCCCCCCTTGCACGGTCCGTGCAATTAAACGGAGGCGCGGTAATTCGCGGTCACGTGTCGATCGACCAGAGAAAAATTTTCCGTGTACTCAATTAACAAAATTAAAGTACTTACATTATCGGCGTGCGAGGGCTCGTCTGCCCTCCATAATTTGGAGGGTGGTCAGCACCGCTTCTTGTAGCGCGGAGGGAGTGATCTCCTCCCTCGGGGGCCGCTGTCGTCCCTGCCAGCGCGTGCTCGTGCCCCAATCTCGGGGGGGTCGTTCCCGTAGCGCCCTGGCGTACCGGGGTCGAGGTCCTCCCCTCCGCCCATCACTGGTCGAGGCTGTTTCCTCCCGCCTGGCCGAGGCTACTGGAGCCGGTCGTGGCGTCGTCGGGGTTCGCTCGGCGCGAAAAATGCAGGCGATCAATCGCCCGCCTCGCGCCCATTTTAACCGAAAAAACCCTCCCGGCACTTTATATTTTAGCCGCCTCGACGTCCAGGGTATGTGGGCCGGCACCCTTATTATTCCTGGCCCCAGATTTATTATAAATTCCGGGGATGGGCCCGGCGTCTCTGCTGGCGTGGGTGGAGCGGCGGGGGCGTCCGCGGAGCCTGCGGTCGCCGCAGTTGACCGCGTTGTATCGACCAACTGTAGCAGTTGGTTGAACTGTTGTTCAATCGCGGGGTCGCTCGCCGACCCCACGACCGTCTGCACGCTTTCGTCCGAACTCGACGACATTTTCACTTTATATCTTTTTGACTCGCTACGTATTCCACGTGTGACTTGGAACTGAGGAAATGCGGCCTGCGGTCCTGCTTTTAAAACCTAGGACGCTCGCGAATTGCTCCCTTCCTTAACTGTTAACGGGATAGTAGGGAAGAGATTCCCCTATCCCCGTTTTGTCACCGAGACACAGGACACATGGTGATCCACACCTGTTGTTGTTACCAACGGCGGTTCTCACTTCCTGTCTCTTTCTCACGTGGAATTCGGGATTTCTTTTGTCCCGCTAGCGTCGTCTTCGTCTGTTATCGATAGCGACTCTTCTATGGGCAATTTACACAGACGTGTGATTGGTCGTGTGTAGGTGGAAGTGGCTGTGCGTACTTTAACAACCCGTACGTGCCTGTCCTTGCCCGGGAAAATTTCCTCAATTCTTCCCATTTCCCATTGATTCGGGGGGAGAAGAGGGTTTTGCACTAGAACCAAATCGTTCGGTTTTAGCTGCACTTGAGCGTTACGCCACTTATAGCGGTTCTGGAGGTGCGTGAGATAATCACGCGTCCAATGCCTCCAGAGTTGCTCGTGGAATTTCTGAATAGCTCTCCATCGCGTAAGCCGCGAGATATTTTCATTTTCCACTGACTGTACCGGAAGTGCATTCATCGGGCTTCCGATCAAAAAGTGGCCCGGTGTGAGGGGCGCATAATCCTCTGGACAATCACTCAGAGCGGCGATCGGTCGCGAATTTAAACTCGCTTCGATTTTGCAAAGTAATGTCTGCATCTCCTCGCTCGTGGGAGTGAAGTTGCCGAGGATGCGTTTTAGATGATGTTTCACCGATTTCACACCGGCTTCCTGCATACCGCTAAAATGCGGTGCACTAGGTGGATTGAATTTCCACTTAATACCCTTCTGGCCGCACGTATCGCGCATTTCTCGTGTGTTATACACGATATTGAAATGCTCTCTCAATTCTCGATCCGCTCCGACGAAATTTGTTCCGTTGTCACTGAACACGCAGGACGGAACTCCGCGGCGAGCGATGAATCGGTCAAGGGCGGCCAAGAAAGCACTCGTCGTGTAATCGTGCACGAGTTCGATATGTACGGCTCTGGTAGCGAAACAAACGAATACCGCTATGTAAGCTTTGTGGGCCGTTTTACCTCGACCGGCGGAGTCGCGGACTCGAAAGGGTCCCGCGTAATCTACTCCGCAATTCGAGAAAGGTCGTGCCGCGCGGGTGCGTTCCGGAATTAAATCCTGCATTATCTGCGTGGACGCTGTTGCATTCCATCTCACGCAGCGCATGCAACCATGGATAACCGTACGCGTCGCGTTACGACAGCCGATGATCCAGAATTTCTGTCTCACCGTGTACATGGTCAATTGCAAACCCCCGTGCAGCGTATCCGCATGACATTGCCTTATTATCATGTTCGAAACATGATGTTTTGGCAGAATTATCGGGTGTTTGGTTTCCCATGCAAGTGCCGCATTCTCCAACCTTCCACCCACTCTGAGGACTTCCTTGTCGTCGAGGAAGGGGTTTAGGCCTTTCAATGGAGACGTTGCAGGGATTTCACGGTGCCCTTTCAGGCACTGGTATTCATCTGCAAAATGCGTGCTTTGCAAGTAACGTGCAATTCTTTCCGTTGCACGCTGTATTTCAGATGCGTCGACAACGTTGGCGTCGAAGGACCGACGCTCTCCGTCCCGCGCCCTTCGAAACCGGAGGCAGTAGGCGGTTACGCGTAGTAGCTTTCTCCATTGGGAAAATCGAAATACAAAGTCCCATTCTTTTTTCGGAGTTGCTACGAGCGTATGCGAGACGCGTTTTCCTTCTTCCGTTTCGATCGAAGCGGGTATTTTCGGCCAATATTCTTCCGCCCGCCGAAGCCACGGCGGGCCGGAAATCCATAGTTCCGATTGAAGAAGTTCCGCGGCTTCCACTCCTCGCGAATTTAAATCTGCGGGATTTGAGCGCGTGGGAACATGACGCCATTCGGCGTTCGGAAGCATCGTCTGGATTTTTGATACACGGTTGGCGATTACCACCTTCCATGTCGACGCATGTTTTTTCAGCCAAGCTAGTGCAATCGTAGAATCTGTCCAGCAGATTATGCGATCCAATTTCATGGAGATGGACCGCTTTACGTGCATCACAAGCTCGGAGAGGAGTACTGCCCCGTTTAATTCCAGTACGGGTATGGATTGCGTTTTGATCGGCGCCACCCGCGTTTTTGCCATTACCAATGTCGTAAAGACGTCATTGTTTGTCGTCGTCACGCGTAAATACGTGACGGCGGAGTAGGCGGCGAGGGAGGCGTCGCAGAATCCATGCAACTCCACGGATACGGTATCGGCTCCGTACCGTATCCATCTGGGAATTTTTAATTTTTTCAGGCTGTTCCAATCCACGCAAAACGTATTCCACGTTCGTTGCGTGTCCGCGGAGATTTGATCGTCCCACTGGATTTTCTCCAGCCACTGGGACTGCATCAAAATTTTCGCACGTATTACTACTGGTGATAACCAGCCGAGCGGATCGAACAGCTTGGCAATCTCCGAAAACAGATTTCTCTTAGTCATCGGGAACGCCGATGGTTGAAATTGTTGGAGATTGAAATAAAAATAATCCCCAGACGGTATCCAACGTAGACCGAGCACTTTGAGTTCGGAATCCTCGAACAAGGTGAGGTCTACGGCGTGGGAGTGAGCGCTGTGGGGGATATTTCGCAATAGTTGCTGCGAGTTTCCTGCCCATTTTCTCAACTTAAACCCACCTCCTTGCAGGAGCTCGCACACTTGCGTGCGGATTTTTTCCAGCAAGGGCTTATCTGGTGCTCCCAAAAATACGTCATCGACGTAAATGTCCTTCTCGAGAATCGGAGCAGCCAAGGGGAATTTTCCTCCATCCTGCTCTTTTAATTCGAGAAGGGTACGCATCGATAAGTACGGAGCGCACGCTGTCCCGTATGTAACGGTATTTAACTCGAACGCTTTTAGCTGTTCGGTTTCGGGTGCACTCCAAACGATGCATTGGAATCGACGATCCTGTGGTGCTACGAGAATTTGTCGAAACATTTTCTCAATGTCGGCCACCAGCACGTATTTATACAAACGCCACCTCGTTAATACCGAGGTGATATCGTTTTGCAATTTTGGACCGACGTGTAGGATGTCGTTTAGGGAGCGACCTCCCGCCGTCCTACAGGTTGCGTTGAACACGACCCGTAACTTGGTGGTCGTACTGTCCGTACGGACGACCGCTCGGTGTGGTATATAGAGTCTAGAACGGTCAATAGGCTCGATACGAGTCATGTGACCTTGCGACTCATACTCGTTTAAAAACTCCGAGTATTCTTTACCGAGAGTCGGGCTCGTGTCTAATTTCTTTCGCAACCTTGCGAGAGCCGAAAACGCTATGTGGAACGACTTTCCGATCGTTTCCTCCGGTTTCGGGCAATTAAATGGGAGTCGCACTTCAAACCTCCCAGTTTCGTCTCGGACGACGGTTTTCTTATAGAATGCTTCGCATTCTTCCTCTGACTTTGTACGCACAGAGGTCGCGGGAATTTCCTCCGTTTCCCAGAATTTTCGAATCGCGTTATCCAGCGATTCGAGTACGGTGCAGTGTAGCGTCCGTACTGGATTCTGGGTTTTTCCCACTGCACTTATCGGTCCGGAAATCACCCAGCCGAACGCAGTCTCTTGGGCTATCGGACCCTCCGCGGTTACGCGACGGAATCCCGGTCGCATAATTTGTGCGTATAAGTCTGCACCGATCAAAACTTCGATAGTTTGATCGGTCGTGAGGTCGGGGTCGGCGAGAGGTAGGTCCCGGAGCGCTTCGTAACCGAGCGTGTCCAAGGACATGGGTGCGTAGGTCGTGATTCGAGGCACGACGTACGCGTCGACCGTGCAGGTCGGTATCCTACCTTCTCTCGCACTTAGACTCAGCCCGACACTATATTTGATCATTTGGGTTCGATCCCCTCCCAAACCAGTGACCGTGGCTGGAGTTTTCCTTCGAGCGAGTTGGAGGTCATTCACCAAACTCGCAGAAATGAAGGAAGTTTCGGACCCTTGATCGAGCAGTGCGCGCACGATTCGCGACGCACCGTATTTTCCGAACGCTCGCACTCGAGCCGTGGCCAACAACACGGGCCTCGGTACACCTGTACCGAACGTCGTGCAATGTGACGTTGCGGCTTGTGTTGTGTTCGTGTTTCGCGAGGTTCTGGATTTCGATCTGAATTTTACAGATCGCCGAGCCGGGGCTTTTTCGCTCGTTTCCTCACCATGGTCGTACTCTTTTCTCGGTAACGGCTGGTTTCGAGGTTCCCGGCTTACGTCGACGTGCAGCAGGGGATGGTGCCTCCCGTTGCACTTTGTACAGACGATGGGGCGTCTGCAGTCTTTTGCGTGGTGGTTAGCGCCCAGGCACTGTAAGCACCACCCACGATTTCTTACATATAGACTGCGCTTGCTTGGAGTCATTTGCAAGAGGTTTTCGCACGTCGTCACGTGGTGCGGTCCGGTACAGACTGCGCACGGTGTCCTTGACGTGGCCCCAGCTGGTCTGTTTTCGCTACTTTTGCCACGAGGCGGTCCCGCCCAAAGGTTGTCCTTGACAACATTGTGGCTGCGCACGTGTCTCGAGGCCGATCTCGAATCCCGAGTCGAGCTTCGACTACGTGCGTTATCATGTGTGGCAGATGCGATGGCCGCCCCCCGTCGCTTCTCATCCATGGAGAGCAGTGCGCGGGAGTGCATTTCAAGGAACCTCCGCACGTCCTCAAACGTGGGATACTCTGTTGCGAGGTTCAACGTTTTCTGCCATTCCAACTCTAGCGCCGGCGAGAATTTTTGCTTCGCCCAATGCGCGAGTAACCAGTCCCGCTGCTGTTCGGGCGTGCCCTTTTTATCAAGGGCGGCGAGCGCCTGTGTGCAACCCTCGGTGACCTGCTGCATACTGGCCAGGTCACCGGTATCTATTGGTTTCGTAAACAGGAGCTTGTCCAGCAGTTTTCCCGTGACCAAGCGTGGGAGACCGAAGGTGTTTTTTAGCTTCGTCCACGCCACGGAGAAATTTCGACCGACGATTTCGATCGAAGCAATACACGCCTGTGCGGGTCCCTCTACGCAGGCATTCAGATAGTGCAATCTTTGCACATCCGACAGCGCTGCATTTCGTATGACCCCGGAGGTGAACAGATCCTCGAAATGTTCCCATTCCTGAGGATCCCCTCCGAATCTTGGCAGTCGTTGCTTCGGGAGCTCGATCGGTATATTACTTTGAACTTCCGACGCTGCTGGTTTCACCTCAGCGCTCAGTCGGCCAAGTTCAGTAAGAACGAAATCCTGGAAATCCTGGAAGTCGTCTTCAGCACTCCTCATGTAATTCAGCTTGAAGAGGTCGTGCGACACTCTTTCTGCTGGAGGAATTTGTTTACGCACGCTTGCATACCTGGTGCGTATTTCACGCCAGGTTTCCTTGCCGTGCTCGAGCTTTTCCTCAAGCAGTCGCTCTGAGAATTTCGCTCGTCCTAATTTTCTTAGGTTAGATGCTAGCCGCTTCAGCTGACCACATAGATCGATCACATCTTCGATTTCGTCATCGAGATCGATTTCAAGGGATTGCTGTGATACGGCCATGCTGCGTATTTTCGAGGATTAAACCGCTCGAAATGATTTCTTACGTGGGTATCCCTCACGTGTAAGAACTTGCACCTTTTCCTGGTCCACTCAACTTCGTTTCGTATCCGGCTCGAAGGACCTTTTGTTAGAATATGGAGGGCTCAAATATTAATTTGAGAACCTCGTCTAACGGGTGTCCGGATTACGAAGGAGTAGGACGTAGGAAAAGTAAATCGTTTCTTTTATTTGTATTTTCGCGTCGTCGATCTTCGACGACGCCGTTTATTTGAAAAAAATCAAAGAATAAAACAAAACGAAAAAGAAACTTGTTAATAATCAAAGAACATAAATAAAATCAGAACGAAAATAAATGAAAAAAGAAATGTAGGCCGTTTGCCGATATTAAAAATTGAAAAGAATCGCCTCGTCGTCTGGCGAATCGTCGGCTGGCGTCAGTCTTCTCTGTAACAAAAAGGACGGAACTTGGTGTAAACACACGGTAACGTTAGTCACGCTTTCCGTCTCGTTCTGACGTTCTCGCGCTCCTAGCTGTGCTTGTCGCACTCAGGAGCGGGGATTCTCTGCCGCTGCGTTACGCGGCGAAACAGGTGGACTGTATTTCTTATGTGTGCGTTCCCTTTAAACCGGGAAACAGCTGATTGCAGTTCTAAGGAAGACGAGATTATACCTCGATTCTTCCTATACTGCGTTATCTCGACCGTCGTAGGAAAGGGCAACAGATGGAGGTTGTAAGGCTCCAAATGTTGTCGAATCCTCGGTTTCTTACCGTCCTCGTAATCCGTCCTTGTACGGTGTGGGAAGGTACCTTGTCTGCGTTCACAACGACTTACGGTTAGCGTACGTTTCCCACTGTTGCTCTTGAGCGGTATTCCACGCACACGTTGGCGTATTTTCGAAATACCGCTTCAGCAGGTCGCCTGATGCTGGACACGTGATTTAAATTCCTAGCACCGACTGGAGGGCGGCAAGTCCACCCACGGAATACCACGTGGTCCGTCTAGGTGGGGTTTTAACCGTTCGACAGTCAAGGGAGGTTCGTGGGTCAAACTATAACCTTCGGTAACGACCGATCGGTTCAACGATACGTATCCTGTTTCCTCAGTCTTAGGTGGTTTTTACCACTGCTGCTCTAGAAACGTTCGGAAATAACCCACGAGATTCCTCGTTAGAAACGGAAGTGACGTTGGTACCGGATGGTATCCCAATCCGTTTAGGTACTGCACTTCTTTGCGTTTCCGACTCTTTTTCACTCCAGTTAAAACGTGTAGCGGAAGTATTTGCGTTACCGGATCGGACCCCAATCCGTTCTCGCACTGCACCTTCTTCACCACGTTCTTAACTGGCTCGAAAGAACGACAGCTACAAATTCGTTATACTTGGTATATACGGAGGAGCGGGATCGTATGCCCATCTGCTCTCTGCCGTTTCCAAATCAAGAGTGATTCGTTTAACAAGGAGAGTCAAATTCGGAGAGCGATTTCCGACTGGCGGCGCTGTAGCCGAATTTGAGTTTATCCTTGTCTATCTTTCGATTGTCTTTCCTTGTCTATATTACGCGTTTCGAAACGTTAGCTTGAAATTCTGCGTAGTTTGGTCGATCGCGTGATGTTTCGAAGAAATCCGTATGTGACCGTTTTTGTATCCGGTCTTGTTTACGCGTAGCGGACATGAGCGCCGAACATTCTCGAGTATGTTACATAAGCAGAAAAACAATACCGGGTGACGAATAATATTCTACTATTTGCACGTCGAATTAACGCGATATTTAAACAACTATGTATGTATTATTTATTTATTTATTTATTTATCGATTTATTTTATTTATCTTACTATATATATATTTATTTATTTATTTATTATTATTATATATTCTACTTATTATTATTTTATTCACATGCCATTTCGTTTTTACTATATCCTACCCTACACCACACAAGCAATAAAGTACGAAATCCTTACACAGGTTTTACTTTTCACCGATCTTGCGCGTAAATTTCCAGTTTATGCTGGTATCTCAGTTTTATTTTATTGTATTTTATATTTATTTTTATTTTTATTTTATTTTATTTCATTTTATTTTATTTTATTTATTTTATTATATTTTACTTACTTTACCTACCCATTTACATTTTATTACATTACATTTATCGTACAGTACAGCCACACAGTATCTCATACTGACTCTGTTTACCCCCATATCACTTTATTTTCCCACCATTAAATATACTCTAGTATACATTTGTGCACCTTATCTATTTACTGTACCCTATTTTTCTTTTCTATTGTACTTTATATTATATTTTATTTTAACTTATATTACGTTATCCCATTATTTTAACCTACTACGCAACTATATTTCAACCGCTTACCACCCTTGGAGTCTGCTATTTTCTATTTTTTTATAACCTTTTCTTCGATAGACTTCCCATATTTAATATTTAACACATTATACTCTTATAATTGTTGCTACATTCTACCCTACTCTTATATCATATCACTTCATCCCACCTCAAGATACGAATATCAAAAGGTGCATCCCACGGGCATCTGTGGGGAAGTATGCACACTACGTGGACCCAAGCTAATCGGGAATACAAAGGTGAGTCCAACCCTACGAGGAAATGACACCATCTGCAGCGTACGGAGCAGAGATGGCAGCACCTGCCAAAGTACAGGTAGGTGAATCTCCCTGCTACACGCGAAGTTGTGGTAAATTACCGACGGTGGGGACCGGGGTATACCCAAGCAGGTCGGCCTAATTCCGCTGAGACGCTGGGTATTACCGTTGCCGGTAACAGAAGAATAGAAATTACCACAGAGAGACCTATTGCTAAAATAAATAAATTTTCGGTATATTAATTGATATTCAACACAAGTAAAGGACTAGGATCACATTCAACTATTATTTTAACTTTCAATTTTAACATATATCGCACTTTTTTCTCAATTTATATATCTCTAATACTTCTACCCCCTCTCTTAGTCAGCGACAAGATGTCCGATGCATTCTCTTACTTTATGTTTATTTTTCATTTTACATGCTTAAGTACTACTCTTTTCACTACATTTTATTCCTAGTCGTACACACTAAATTGCATACTTTGGATAGGCACTAAACTAAAATTAATAATTCAAAAAATTAAAAACTATAAAACTCACTCTATTTCACACTGGCATCTAATTTTTATCACCATTATTAGGTTCAGTATTATCACTTAAATGTCTCCCACATAAATATAGCTTACACCTTTTACCGCTTTCGGGTTTTACACAACATAACATAATAAATAAATTAATATACTTTACCCATCATTCGTTATAGTATATTTCACATTATAGGGGCCTTACTACATTAATAAGTACCCCCACCAAAGACCCGGGATAAACAAATATTACCCACAGTCTAGTCTAAATTTTCTATTTTATCTTATTTTATTTTACTTTTTCTTTTCTCTTTATTTTACCTTCTCTATGCTACCCTTATTTTATTTTTATTATCATACAACCTTAATATCTCTCCCAGACTCTTTAGTCCTTCGTATATTCATTCTAGTCTTATCCGTACTTCATGTTATCTTACCTTATTTTACCATTCACTAGCATTATTTTATTACATTTTAGTTTTTTCTATATATTTTACCATTTCACCATACACTCAGCTCTACTTTTATACCTTTCTTCACGGTATATCAGAAGTTAACAGAAATGTAACAATACCTGGTAGTATCTCTTCCTCTAAATTAAATTAAATTAATTAAATAATCCTATTATTATACTCTCATATAATATGAAATATTATATACGTACCTACATCAGTGCGGACTGCTTTTACCGTGGAGGCCAGTTTTCTCTTTCTCCTTCCCTTCTTTTCCTCATGTACATCATGCATCGATCTCAATTATTTTCTAGTCGTACCCCACAGGCTAGCCCTACTTGTATTTCTTACTCTCATTTTACACATACTTCATATTACTCTACATATTTAATATATATATAGATCCTTCCTACTATCGATTATTTTATCCTATTTTTAAAATTTTATTTTTTATTTTATTTCTGGATCATATATTATATTAAAGTAAACATGTTAACATAGTTGGTGAGCTTCTTTATCATTTATTACGATTGCCTCTACATAGTATATACTATATAGTTTTGTTCCACTATACTGGCGAACTTAAGATAGTACTTTTCTACCTTTTCTAGCCTTTCATACTGGCATGCTATCGCATACCTGCCTTATATTTTCTAGTCCGCCTAGTCCTATTTATTTTACGTTTCTCTCACTTGTACGTACACTTCATTTTATATACATTATTTCTTATTTACCGACTTCATTATACTTCTGTTCGAGAATTAACTCTCATTTTTAGCAACACGCACGTGCCTTGTTTCCTTTCAATGTTTCGCTCATGCCGTGGCCACCACGACGCTCATTGGCAGCACCTCTCGGGCACACTTTGTGCGCGAGCAGGATAGCTGGCCCACCTGCGCGCGCAACGATCTCGCTACCGGCCGGTCGAAACCTCGTGGTGACCACGAGCGCGGCCATTAAGCCAGTCTTGTTCGTAATCTCAAACGCGACAAGTGTGCTCTGTTTTTCAATCGTAGTTTCCTTTGTTCTTTTGTGCCGCACATAATCTACTGTGGTCAATGTAATTAATTCACAACAAATTATCAAGGCTCACGCTCATAAACCCCTTGCAATTAATATAATTGCAAGGGTATTATGAGTTTTAAACTCGTAATAAACGGTTGATTCTCATTCTCACTCGCGCTCAGAAATGGCGATCAATAATATCGCCATTTCTCATAACCGCTCGTGTAAAACTCTTACTTAACGTACCGCTCATTAATTATGTATTTCACAAACGGGACAATGTTGTTAATAAAGACCTTGTTTAATTAACTTTGCACCATAGTCATTTTTCGCGAACCCTCTCATAACCGGCATCTCAATGAAAATCTCTACAGTTCACTTCAATCTCAAACAACTT